GGCTCGGGCTCGGGCGAGCCTAGAATAGCCAAGCTCGAGCTCAGCTCGTCAGAAAATCGACGAGCTCGGGCTCAGCTCGGTTCGGGCTCGTTTATGAAACAGATCCAGTTCTAAAACCCCCGATTCATATGTCTGCCTTGTCCCAAGTAGTTGCATCAAAACCAGCTAGCGGGGGTTGATGATTGAGATGGGTGAGATGGGTGAAGCAGGGGAAGCTATCAGATCGGGGCAGCGACTACCAGCAATTGGCCGGATTCTTCCAAATGAATTGTCTGCACACATATATGATACACAACACACACACACACACACACATATAGTGCCACACATATATACAAGTATATATAATACAAAACAGATTAGTGTATATATATAACACAAATATATCAATATATATATATATATATATATATATATATGCACATACATACCTTGGGAGAATAGTTGCAGAGAAGGAAAGAAGAGAATAGAGAAGAAAGGGGATGCCGCTGCTTAGTTCGTGGTGGTAGAGAATGAAAGTAGAATATAGGGTTTGTTATGTTAACATAAATGGGTTGGGTCTTTAAAATGAATATGTGCCATTTTTTTTTTTGGACTTTGTTATTTAGATTATAGTAATGGTTCACATGGGCTTATTATGTATAATTGTAATGGACTCACACATATGGGCTGGATCAAGAACTTATAAATGGCTAATAAATGAGCCTTGTTCACGAGCCTAAATGATCCTTGTACGAGCCTTGTTCACGAGCCCATACGAGCCGAGCCTAACGTTGTTCGGACTCGGCTCATTTACTAAACGAGCCTACAAATTGGGCTCGAGCTCGGCTCGTTTGCTTAACGAACGAGTTCGAGCCGAGCCCTTAGCGAGCCGAGCCCGAGCTGTTCATGAACAGCTCGGTTCATTTCCAGCCCTAGTTAAAATCCATGGTGCGTGGCAAGTCGGGTTCATCTAAGTAATGGTCTAACTCTGATTTCACATTCCCAAGCCTTGACAAATCACTAACAATCAAATCATACTCGGCATAAATGTCCCATTCTTTACTTGTAGAGCTTGAAGATGCAGCCAATCCACTTAGATCTTCACTTAGACCAGTCCCCTCCTTACTTCTATCTTGATACTCTTGAAGTAAATCATAACATGCTTGGCGTACATGATCTACTTGAGAAAAATATTCATCCCCGTGTATCCTCTGAAGAACATGCTCCAAAAAGGTCATTTTGTGCCTTGGGTCCAACACTATTGCTATTCCTGCAACAAGATGGCACTCACTCCAATACTTATCAAATTTCTCCATCATACTTGCTGCCATTTTTTTTACCACCTTATTCTCACAATTGCACCAACTACGCAGTGCCAATTTTACATCACAAATCTTTGGAAAGAGACAATTTGTGGTGACAAATCGAGTCCCAGAGAAAATTTCAGTAATAGAATAAAATAGTTCTAATCTCCGACAAATTTCTTGTGCTAAGCACCATTCCTCCACTGATGGCAAAGATGTATAAAGTCTCTCACATTGTTTCAATCGTGGAAACACATCCTTATAACAGATAGCTGTTTCAAGCATCAAATATGTAGAATTCCATCTAGTTTTGCAATCAAGAGACAGTTTTTTATGGCATGGATTTTTTAATTCACCAGCTGCCTCCACAAAATTTTCTTCTCTAACACTATCATGAATTTTCCCAATTGCCCCTCCAATTATATCTAGACCATCCTTCACAATCAAGTCTAATATATGTGCAGCACAATGCATATGAAAAATTTTACCATCCAAGAGAAGTGACTTACTACGAACAGACAACTAGTTTGGAAGACCCTGAATCAATGCATCATTGGTTGTACAATTATCCACCGTAATAGTAGATATCTTTCTATCCAAGTACCAATCCAAGAAGCAATTCATAAGGGCATCACAGAGAATCTCACTTGTATGTGGAGAAGGCACATAAACAAACCTGAAAGTATTCATGAATTAAATAGAAAAGTTAGTCACTGATGGACAACCAACTTTTGAGATATCATGTAATTGAAACAAAAAAAAAAAAATAAAGATTAAATACTTACCCAATAATCATATTTTGCAAGTGCCAAAATTCATCAACATAGTGAGCAGTGATTGACATGTAAATCATTGTGAAGCCGGGCTTGTGTCTGCTAACAAACCTCTTAAATCCAATATGCTCAACAATACTAAGAGGATACTCATGCAAAACAATTGCATTAGCAAGTTCCTTCCTTGAAACTTCTTGGGTAAATGTAAAATTGCCAAACTGCATTGACCCATCAACATTTGGAGAATGTGCAATCATCTTTTGACGTATATCAGTATTAGTTCGCTTCACACACCTCTTTAAATGTGTTTTTAAATGACTAGTACCAAATGAATGTTCAGCTACAAGCTTCTTCTTACAATGATGACAAATAGCAAATGAACCCCCATTTGGCCCATCCAATATCACATTTTCAAAATCCTTCCAAACTTTTGAAGTCAATTTTCTCTTCCTCGCCTGTGATGTTGTGAGTCTTGTGACTCCTGAACTTGGAGTGGGTGCTGATTCAGAATTGATTTCAATTGGTGCATCAAAACTTGTAGGTTGTGTAGCTGATGTAGATGGCTCACTTTCCATATTTTGAGTTGGCTGAGACATTATATCAACCACTTGCTGGATAAAAAAAATTAGAAGTAATTAATTCAACAAAAACATGATAAGGGGGGAATGAGAAGTGCCAATATAATTGAATAAAACAAAAAAGCTTCGTTTATTAAAATATAAAAATGAAAAAAAAAATAATAATTCCCAAGAAGGTCATCCCACAACCCTTTATCACGTATACAAAAAAAAAGAAGCAAAAAGCTTTTATATAGATTAATCAATCAACAAATGTAAAATCCAAAACAGCTGAAACATTATTGCATAGGAGAGACGAAAAAAGAAACAAAAAAGAGAAAAATAATTACCTTCTCAACTAGTATTCAAATTTGTAATAGTCCAGTCTGAGGAGTTCAAGCTTTCATCGTCGTTCCAACTCAAACTCAAGCTATCTGTTCTGAATAAACGTTATCAGACTCCAATGCACAAGTAAATATATATATATATATATATAGAATAAACATAAATATATATATCCACTGAAAGAATATATATATAAAATAAATATATAACTTAAATCATAGACTACATCAACCATCAGATCAAGCAAAAACACAAAGATCAACGAAATAACATTAAAGTCTAAAGAAACAAAAAAGTCATGAGAGAGAGAGACGGACGGACTACCTGATAAAGAGAAACAAAAAAATTAGGGTTGTGTAACTTGTACCGTTGTTATATTATATATATTAAACATAAGTTATTAATATTATATAATATATATATAGTTATATGTTTAGCGGGGCGGATATGAATCAGAACCCGTCCCCGCCCTGTGACCCGCTGCGGGTACAAAAAATGTATCCATGCCCGCCTCAACGGTATAAAAGTTGTTCCCATATCCGTTATTGACGGGGTGGTAAAAATTGCCACCCCTAAATAAGCAGATTGGTCAACTATTGTTCATAGAAAGGATTGGACAAAATGTTGACAGTTGATGTTTTCATTAGCAGAGGGTGGACCAGTCAAAACATGTTCGTTTCCACAGAACTTCCTCTTCCATCTTAGGCTAAAAGGGTGTACTTCTGCTTCATTATGCACTAATTTGGTGAAATGGATCAGGTACACAGATTATGAAGATCCCAGGTCTTTATCTACTTTACATTGTGTAACATGTATAGGAAGTTTGAATACATTTGGCTATTTTTCTTGTGGTTTTGGAAGAATTTGAGGGTTTAAGAGCATTGGCCAAGCATAACAATAGGAGTGAATTCTTTTTTGGAGATGGTGTTTGTTGTTAGTTTATAATCTTCTTCCTCATTTCCTATTTGTAATCTTATTGGGACTGTTATTAGATCAACTATGCTATATGGAGAGGAGTGTTGTAAAACAGAAATAAGAACAATGCATTCATGTTGCGGAAATGAGAATGCTAAGATGGATGGTGGGAGTGACTAGAAGAGATAGGGTCACTAATGGAAGTGCATGAGGAAAATTAGGAGTGACACTCCTTAACTTCCAAAAAAAAAAAATTAGGAGTGACACCTATCACGAGAAAGTAAGAGAGAGTAGAGTTAGGTGGTTTGGACACATACAACAGAGACTTATAAATGCGTTGGTAAGAAGAGGTAAATTAGAATCTATAGAAGGCAAGAGGCGGAAAGGGAAACCTAAAACAACGTGGGATGAAGTTATTACAAACGATGTTAAAAAGTTATCATATTAGGTGAAATGGCGACTAATAGAAAATAATGGAGAAAGAGAATTCTTTTGGTTGACCCCATTCTTACGGGAATAAGGCAAGGGTGATGAATGATGACGATTATGATGATTGAGATTCTCTCCCTTATTTTATATTTTTCATTATATAGGAATACATAAGTAAATTCATGCATATTCTATATCAGCACTTTATTGATGAAATCACATGTTGGCTTCCTTAACTGCATTCTTTTGGACATCATGTACAATGCTCCATGCAACCCAGTTGATTCTATATAAATGCTTCTTTGTCTATTTGATTGCCGCATCTCTTATACTTTTTGTATAGTTGGGTTTGAGATGTCTTCTCATGATACTACTTTGCTGTGAACTTTTTAAGTTATCCTCATTTTGCTCCAAGTTAATGAGTAACCCCTAAACAATTAGTGGACATGCAGTTTTTTGTTTGTGTTTGTTCAACAAGTTTCAGCAAGTGTTCTGACAAGTTACAATCCCTACATAAAATAATATCTTTTTTAAACCTTCCCCCACCCCTACCAAAAAAAAAAAAACTTTTAAATCATTTAATATATTTAGTGTTTTGATTTAAATTTTGTGATTCTGTACGCATGACCCTCCGTATTTACCCTTATATATGCTTACATGCCTGGGATTTCATTTAAACATTTAAAACACTGCAGCTCAAATTGTTGAACAGACTAGCTACAGTGAAAGATGATGGAACTGTGGAAGTGGAATTTGAAGTTTCAGGAGATGTCAAACCCCAAGATCTTGGCGTTGGATCTGAAAATATTTGTAATGAAGTTGATGATGATACTTTGTGCTCAACAGAACCTCAATATATCCCGCCACTACAAATAGTGATGCTTATTGTTGGTACACGTGGTGATGTGCAGCCATTTATTGCTATTGGCAAACGTCTGCAGGTCGTGAGTCTTTCTTAATAGTTAATATGTATAAACTTATGTTTATTTCATTTTCTTTAAGATATACATATGAGTAACTGGTTATGTTGTTGACCTCGATTATGATGGCCATTTCAATTCTCTGATTACATGTTAGTTTGCAACCGGACAGTGTATGCTTCATTCTGTCTGCTAAATGAACTTTATTTTTATGATTCGCTAATTGCCATGTACTTGTGCAGATAGTTATTCTTAAGAAATCTGAAAATTATTTCAACATGAGTCAAATAATACATACGTGTATTATAGTAGTGGAGGTTATAAACTAGTAGTGCAGTCATCTATTCTTTTTGCATGTGGAAGGCCCTCTTAATTTTCTCTCATCTTTTTCTATGGTGGTGCTTTACTGCTATCTCTACCCTTTTAAGGAACTATTTAATCCTTATTCTCCCTTTGTAGTCTTGCCACCCATCGTGTTCAGGGTGTTCAGAGTTACGCCCCCCTGGCGTAACTCTAAACATTGGTGTGTGTATGGAATTGCTTATTTACAGTATGGCCCAACACTCCTCCTCAAGCTAGAGCATAGATATATATGTGTATATCATGCCCAGCATAATTCCGAAAGATAAGATTTTCCCAATGCCTTGGTAATGACATCTAATTGATAGTTGGATCTCACATAAGTAGTAACTATCCTTTTACTCATCACCAGGCCTCTCACAAAATGACAATCTACTTTGATACGGATTGGTAGCAATGTACATGGCAACCTGATTATCACAAATCATTCTCATAGGCATGTTGTTTGAAAAACCCATCTCAAAGACATTTTACCCACATCATTTTGCAAGCTGTATGAGCCACTGCTCTATACTCTGCCTCTGCACTTGATCTCACCACAACTTTTACTTCTTACTTTTCCATGTTACCAAATTACCTCCCCGAAACGTGCAATATCCAGATATAAACCTCCTATCCATTTGGTTTCCTCCCCAGTCAGCATCCATGAACCCAACAATGTCCATGTTCTTTGAGAACTTAAAGGCTGTCCTTTAGCAGGAGCTTATTTCAAGAATTTTAAAATACAATATACCTCATTCAAATGAGGTGGTTTGTGTTGATGCATAAATTAACTTTCCGCTCTCACAACAAATGTAATGTCTGATGTCGTTTAAGTTAAATATATCAATTTTCCAACAAATCTTTGATATATTCCTAGATCTTCAAGAAGTGCTCCCTCATCTAGACTAAACTTTATAGTTGAATCCATAGGAGTATCTTCGATTTTGCTCCTAACATTCCTATCTCAATCACATACATACTTTCTTTGAGATATGCAAATTCCTTTGTAAGATGTTGCTACTTTTATTCCCAAAAATTATCTCAATCGGTCCAAATCTTTCATATGAAATTGCTTGCTCAAAAAATGATTCGGTTCATCAATACCATTTTTATCACTTCTAGTCACAGCAATACATCTATATAAACTGTTAGGATGATAGTACCACTTTTGCAATTTCGCACAGAAAAATAGTGATCTGATGTAGTTCTTGTTAATCCAAATCTGCTTACTACGACACTAAATTTGTCAAATCATGCCCTTGGAGACTATTTCAACCCACATATAGCTTTCATTAACCGACACACAAGATGTGACTCTCTCTGAGCAACAAATTCTGGTGGTTGCTCCATGTAAACTTCTTCTTGAAGATTACCATTTAAGAAGACATTTTTTTTTTTAATATCTAGTTGGTAGAGAAGTCAATTCTAAATAGCTACAGCTTATAAAAGAAGACGGATAGAATTAAGGCGAGCAACAGGAGAAAACGTTTCAAAATAGTCGACCCCAAAAGTCTGCGCATATATTTTAGTTACTAAGGGAGCCTTTAACCTTTCAATTGTACCATCAGGATAATTTTTGATAGCATTGACTATCAACTGTTTGCTTTTTGGGAGGTAAATGTGTCAAGTCCCGTGTGTCATTTTGCTGAAGTGCTGCCATTTCGTCAAAGCTTAGCATGTTTCCAACCAGGAGAGGACAAGGCTTGGAGATATGATTGAGAAATCGAAATAGAAGACAAAGCACAAACAAATGACTGGAAACAGAAAAATAAATGAGCAAATGAAAGAACATTTTCAACCAGATGATGAGTGCAAGAATGAGTACCTTTACGTAAGACAATAGGAAGATCATCATGAGAAGGAGCCTCAACTGAGTAGACGATTGGTGTGGTATTTCCTTTGGTCATCGACTATACACTTGGAAGTGGTTTATGTTTGGCATGCCCAAGGGATGTGCTAGTAAAGTTAGTAGAAACGATAGGCATAGGGCTGTAAATGAAATGAGCCGAGCCGAGTAATGGTGTGCTCGAGCTCGGCTCGGTCAGGTAATAGAAGGCTCAAGCTCGCTTGAGCCGTGCCGAGAAAATTTAGTTCAAGCTCGGCTTAGCTATGCTCGACGAGCCTCGAGCCGAGCTCGATAGCTCGTTTAATTTTTTTTTTTTTTTGGTGGTACTTCACATCTAACAGATATGGAACCAAAAAAAAAAAAAAAAAAAGTTTGAGAGAGAAATAGATTTGCAACAATAAATAGAGAGAAGTTTGAGAGAAAAAGAGAAAGAAAGTGATAACTTTGATTGAAAATTAAACTTACCAGAGTTGATTTTGATGGAAGAAGTTGAGAGATGCACAGATCAATAGTAAACCCCAAAATTTATACTAAAAATCAGTTTGGATGAAAGACGATTAATACATAAGTGTGTTGCCGCTGCTGCTTGATGAGATGATAAAATATAAGAAGAGAGAGAGAAGTAAGATTCGATGATAGAAAGCAGATTGCTGAGTGTGTTGCCGCTGCTGCTTGGGCTACTGATAATTTTAGAAAAAAGGGAAGATGATTAGGGTTAGACATAAGACATGGGCTTGGGTTGGATTGTACATATATATATATTATAATCGAGTATGTTCGCGAACGTCTTATCCAGCCCAGTTCATGAACGGTTCATGAACAAACGAGTTGAGCCTACTGATGTTCAGACTCAGCTCGTTTATAAATCGAGCCTTATAATTCGGCTCGAGCTCAGTTCATTTATAAATGAACTGTTGCGAACGGCTCGGCTCGTTTGCAGCCCTAGATAGGCAGGGGAAGCAACTAACCAGTATCTAGAGACCGACCAAGTGAAGAAAAGAAGGGAGTAGATTCAAAGAATGTCACGTCCATACACACAAAATAGCGAGTGCTAGGATCCCAACACCCTTTTTGTGTTCGAGAATATCCAACAAATGCACATTTGATTTCGTGAGGAGATAATTTATCAGTTCTAGGACTGGAACTTAACACATGAGCAAAGCAAACACAACCAAAAACACGAGGGGGCAACACAAATAAAGGACGACCAGGATAGAGAACAGAATAAGGAGTCATGCTGTTGAATTTGAAAGAGTTCTAGAGTTCAAGGCTGAGCTTCTTTCTGTTGCCGCAGGCTTATGGCGAAAGCTTTTTTAATAGTAATTGTAATTTATTCCTGATATTGTCATCTATTTGTTTTTTTCTCCCGGTAAATTATTTGGATATATAAGTTCATTTTTTTTTTTTAAACAGTTAGGGTGCATTTGATTCTTTGTTACATGAGTCTTACTTGCCATTTAAAAAGCGTGGTATATGATGAATATGTGTTTATAGTTTATTGATGTCTGTGTCTTGTCCATTTTTCCCATCACTTGCATTGGCAGGATCAGTATTGAGTGGTGATTTTTTTTCTTAAACTGAGAAAATTTTGAGAAAACATACCACTCTTCAACCTTTTTTTACTCAAGACTTTATCTCGAATCTTTATGAGTTTGTTGATGAAGTTATATGGATGCAGGACTATGGTCATCGTGTTAGATTGGCTACTCACTCGAATTTCAAAGAATTTGTCTTGACTGCCGGGTTGGAATTTTACGCTCTAGGCGGAGATCCAAAAGTTCTTGCTGAATGTATGTTGCTAATTCTGTCCTTCTGTTTTGGAACTAACATGAAAATCTCATATGGATTCATGATGATCGATTCTTCTCTTTTCATTAATATTGTGGTTTTGTGATGCATTGGCTAAGAACTGTGTGCATGGAGCACTCTCATCTTTTGGCAATACATCATTTTCGTAACTTTCTTAACCATGTTTTTAAGGTTCCAATACTGCAATAACTTATGACATGTCATTATTATCTATAGCTGGTCCTATTATCCTTATATGGTGGATATCTAGTTGTAGAATGCTTTGCTTGTCCCATAAGAATATTTCACATTGCATTGTCAATAAAATATGATTACATATTTGATGCATTATCAATATTTGATGAAGGATCAGTTTAAATTTTAGATGTTTGGTCTTCTATCAATACTTTAAGGTTGTAAGTCATTCTTCCATGTGTCTATTATTCATCCCGCCAAGTTATTGATATGAAAAGTGTTTTTGTCATGTTATATGGTTTAAGACAATAAAATTGATATTCTGAAAGTTGGTTGGCTATTTGGTGAGAAATGGATTTTTTTTTTTTTTTTCCTATTCATTTTGGATATTTGTTTCTGTTTTTTCAAAATGCATTATAATTTTTGGTGGACTAATTATTCTGCCAAGAATGCAACAGAAAACTATTCGTTCTGTCCTTATTGTGTGTACAGTGTAATAAATTTCAGTTTTAACATGTCATGCACTTGACAACATTTAGGTTTCACAATTAAGATTTTGTATGTCATGAGATCCTACAAGAGGAAATTTTATAGAAGGTAATTTGTGCATGAAAGAGGTGCTAATAAAAATCATATTGTGTGTTGTGATTAATTGTCATAACTTCCCTAACCTTGAGTTTGTTATTCCTTGATGGATTTTTTTACTTGAGAAAAAGAAGTTTGAGCCTGTGCTGAGGTTTATAACCATCATTTCCTTTGCCTTTTTGGTTTTCCTTCTTTGATAGGGTTAAATCATTTAATTATTGACTTGATAAAAGAACAACAATTAAGGATTTGTATGTCATGAGATCCTACAAGAGGAAATTTTATAGAAGGTAATTTGTGCATGAAAGAGGTGCTAATAAAAATCATATTGTGTGTTGTGATTAATTGTCATAACTTCCCTAACCTTGACTTTGTTATTCCTTGATGGATTTTTTTACTTGAGGAAAAGAAGTTTGAGCCTGTGGTGAGGTTTATAACCATCATTTCCTTTGCCTTTTTGGTTTTCCTTCTTTGATAGGGTTAAATCATTTAATTATTTGCTTGATAAAAGAACAAGGAGTCTGGAATGTTGATGATGAATTAGTGAGAGGGAAGGTATTTGCATTAGAAACTTAAACTTTCTGTTAAGTTATATATATATTTTTCTTGGTCCCATTCAAAAGCTATAGTTGGTTCAGCAACAAGCAGTAGCTGTGTTTTCACTTGCTTTGAGGGTAGGTAGAAGATTAACCAAGAGTTTATAAGAAATATTATTTCATGGCTTTGACTGTAATGTGTTTCCTACCTAGCTGCTGACTCAGGTTTCACCTTCCTTGTTTAGAATTTATTGTTGATCTATGTTCTTTCCATTTCCACAACTTTAGTCTCCCTAGTTCAAACTTTATGATTTCATTTTTCCTACTGTTCTCTCTGAAATTTCCAATGTGTTCTAATTTCTCATGTGCCAACAATTTCTTGTGTTTTTTTTGAAACTTTGAGGTCCCTTCTACTTTCTCTTTCTTGGCAAGTTATGCATGCTTTCTTTGATAATTTATATACTTCTGTTTACATTCTTGTTGAATTGTTTAAGCAATTGATGAGAAACTTTGAAAATAAAAGTTCTTTGAAAGAGTTGATTCTTAGAAATTGTAGTGGTTTCCATATGAATAAATTTAATATAAGTGCCAGATAAAGATTGATGTACGGGCTTCATTATTAACTTTTTTTTCCTAAATTTTTTTTTTCCTAAATGGTTTCATTATTAACTTACAATCATTATATATGTATTTTTGTGCAGACATGGTTAAAAATAAAGGTTTCTTGCCATCAGGACCTTCAGAAATACCCATTCAACGAAATCAAATGAAGGAAATAATATACTCTTTACTTCCTGCGTGCAAAGATCCTGATGCTGATTCTGGGATTGCTTTCAAAGCGGATGCAATAATTGCCAATCCCCCAGCATATGGTTAGATTTAATCATTTTTGTATTTTTATACTTATTTTAATCATTTTTACACTTTATATATATTGACATCTTCTGTCCCTTCTATAGCATTTGGATTATCTTTCTCTTGCCTGATGCCTCTATTTATTGAAAATGCATTTTGTTGTTCTTTTGGTCCATGGGGTGCATTTGTTTGTGAAATTCAGAAAGTACTCAAGAAATTCTATTCTAGGCTTCATTGGATATATATATATATTATATGAGAGATTTTTTACAAAAACAATTATTCTAAAAAGTATTGAGCCTTTTTTTCCCCTGCTTTTTATTAGTAATGAATTCCTAAAAGGTTGTTTTCTATAACTAGCAATGATAATTTTGTCACAATATTTTTCGCAAGTAACTCAATTCTTCATGTTAATTAATTAATTTATTACTTTTCTTATAGAACCTTCTCCTTAAATTATCAGTTGGCAGTTTTGGACTACAGAGATTCTTCACTGATGGCTTAAGTAACGATATTTTCTCATAGAAATTGGGTCAATAACATCATTATATTAATTTAATTTTCAGTAAAAGCTATTTTTTAATTTGTTTGTCGTGTTTGTCTAATTACATTGTCTCAGGTCTGAATAAAAATTTGAATAAAAACTATCAATTAACAGTTTGTTTTCAGCACTTACTCCAAGTAGTTTTATAGTTTGCAACTTGGAAAAATATGGTTAAACCAAACAACTAGCTTGGCGTATGTACTTAAACGGAAATGTTGATATAGCTAAGCGAAATATTTTGAGTTACTTGAGTTTGTACTAGCTTAATGTGTTCTGAATTTGATTTATAAATAATCCTATCTTTAGACCTTCTATATCAAGAATATGTACTAAGATTTCTACTGTAAAGAAAAATATATTACGATGTATTATTTTTTTAAAATTTTATTTTCATAGTACTAGTTCAGGCACTCCAAGATAATAGTCCTTAGTCTGTCCTTGGCTGGTATGGAAATATTCTGCTAATTCCCTGTTCAGTGTCTGCGGCAGTTATTGTAACTCTTCCATGTTTCCACTTCTTATGTTGTTTTATACTATAAAAAATAAAAATACTATATGCATTTTGTCTATATTCAGCTGCTAAACTGCAAAAACTACTTTTTAGGGCATATACACGTTGCAGAGGCTCTGAAAGTACCAATTCATATATTCTTCACAATGCCATGGACGTAAGTCTTGTTTGGATAATAGAGTTATACTTTGAAAGATGTTACATTTTCATATTTCAGTTTGCGTTTTTACAAACTCCTGCGTACTCTTTTTGTTGCATCAGTTGTTTCTCTTACTACATAATTAGCTGTAGTATAATATTGGGAAATGAGATTTTATTGTCTTCTACCAGGCCGACTAGTGAGTTTCCACATCCTTTATCCCGTGTTAAGCAATCAGCTGGATATAGAGTGAGCACTGAATTCTTTTTTTGTGCACTTGTTATCATTGTTTTTACCTGCTCCAGTGGCTCCGATTTGTTTTATTTCTTCAATATTGTTAGACTCTTGTTGTTAGCTTTTGCTTTTGTATGATGGTTTTTGCAGCTGTCATATCAAATTGTTGACTCTCTGATCTGGCTTGGGATACGAGACATGATTAATGATGTTAGGAAGAAAAAGTTGAAGCTACGACCAGTTACCTATTTGAGTGGTTCACAAGGTTCTGAATCTGATGTGCCACATGGATATATTTGGAGTCCTCACCTTGTTCCCAAACCGAAAGGTTGTTACTTTAAATCTTTATAATGCTATGTTAAGGATAGTCTATCACATGTTTAGATATCTTGATTCTGAAGATCCAACACTTTATTATGTGATCAAATATATGTTGTAATGGCCACAAGTGTATATTCAATTCCTGTAATTAGATAGATTAGAACACTTAGGCATTCGATAACTGTTTAATATGTTAATACTATTTATACACTGGATTCTATTATGTTCTTTTCATCTCTTTTCTCCTGCAAGTAATTTTGTTATTTGAATTGGAGGAGAGAATAGAATATGTAGATGAAGTTGATGAAGTTAGGGTAGTGAGTGTTTAATTTTTTTTTTTTTCTTTTTCTTTTTCAATGCAGTTTTTTCTCCTTAAGAAGCTTCTATTCTTTTTGTTTCTCATATTCTATTAAACTAGAATAAGTTTTATCCGTCTATAACCTTGTAATGAGGATGTAGTCAACATTTTAAATTCTTGCGTGGAGTGCCTGGGTAGTTTTTTTTATTATGATTCAGCAGATAGCCATTATGTAGTATTAGGCTAAGGGCTTTTTCAGTGTTCAAGGCTGCATCTTGCATTGAAATAGGAGCCCCGTAGGGGCAAAACGGTCAAAAACATCCTGAAGAACCTTCTAGAGGTCGTATGTCACGCGGCTTGACATCATCCATTTTCGGATAAAACCCCATAAGAAGCACACTTATAGAAAAAATGATGTCTGTCTAAAAGTTCAAAGGTAAATTACACTGACTTCCCTTTATGTTTTGCTTTAATTACATATGAATGCTGATATTGGCTAAAACTACCTAGACCTTTCCTAAGGTATGACATGTATCTTCAGATTTTCCTTTTCGCTATCTACCCATTAGGAGTGTGAGTAAAATTTTTCAGACCACCAGATTCACTCTTCGTCTGTCTCAAAAGATTGAAATGTTCTTAAAGTACTTTCTAAAATTGCCAATTTTCCCTCATATTATATAAGTAAATGGACGAAAATAGTTTTAATTCATATGCACCACTACCATTGCCATCTAAGACTATTGCTATCCAACTTCCATCATCATTCTCTGCTAATCACTACCATTTTGAGAGTGATAGAGAGTAGAAAGGAGAATGAGTGAGATATGAAGTATTTTCTGGCCTTGGTGGTGGATGGTTTCAAGTTTCAACTCTGCCAACAACAAGAAGAAGATAACCACAGATCCATAATTTTTTGAAAACAGTGGTGGCACTATCTCTTGTAATTTCACGGACCCATCATTCTCTCTTCTCTCTTGTAACCTCATATTTGGATTTCGGTCACCCCTCATACATCCGTCTGGCTATCCTCTCATCTGTTTTTTTTATTGATTCAGTTCTCTGTTGTTCTGGTTATATATTTGTGATTATGTATGTACCTATTCAGATTAACCATATGTTGTAGTTCCATCTTCCATTTTAGAGAGAGATTACCAGAGAGAGACGCATGTGGATATTCATTGATTGATAGTGAAAGTGTTTGATCTATAGTGAGAGAACTTGAGTTCTAGAGAATGCAAGAGAGAAACTACAGCAATTCTGTTTGGGTTTCATCTTTGTAGAGAGAGAAGGATAAAGATTGAGAAGGGAGAGGGGTAATGTATGAATCCTCTCTCTTTTTTGGGAGGAGTGTGAGGCCCCAAGTTGATTAGGTCACATGGTATGGGTAAAGGGCACCATGTTTTTGACAGGAAGTATTGTGAATGAGTCTGTTCTGTGACTCTTATATTGTTTGTCTTGTATTTGATTCCCGAGGGCCTGCAATACTAGTATGAAGGAATACAGAACCAGATTTCTTCTCCTGCTCTTCACCTGTGTCTTTGTTGGGACCCCAAGTTGATTAGGTCACATGGTATGGGGAAGGGCACCATGTTTTTGGCAGGAAGTATTGTTAATGAATCTGTTCTGTCACTCTTATATTGTTTGTCTTGTATTTGCCTCCCAAGGACCTGCAGTACTTAGTATGAATGAATAAAGAACTAGATTTCTTCTCTTGCTCTTCTCCTGTGTTCTTTATTTTCTTTTTTTGCTTAAAACAAGTGAATGTTGTCTCTGATAACAATCCTGGGGGAAGTGATTCAAAAGAAATTAACATGTTTTATTGTATGTTGAGCTCAACTTAAAGAATGTGATCTAAGGAAAAAATTTCGTGTGATTGAAATGAACTTGTTTTTGTTCAACCTCATTACATGGTTGTGCTGAAATCTTTTGGAGAACTAGCAAGAAACAGCCTTTTGTTTAAAGATGAATAGATTGTTAGGTAACACAAAAGGATCCCTGCGAGTTTAAAGCTATGATGGTTCTGTTGATTCTTTTAAATGTGTGCCGTCCACAAACCCAAGTTGCTTCCTCATTAAAATATAAACCTAGTTTTATGTTTATTCAATTCACACATGCTTTTGACTGCAATTATTACTCTGTCTTGAAGTAAACCTAGTTATTTAATGTACATTTTGAAGCAACTTGGTTTCCTTAGAAGTCATCCAGTTTGCATTCAAGATTTATTGCTGGTGGCTTTTCTGGGATCCATGATGTTCTGCTTGTTATGCAATATTTCTAGATAGGACAAAATACTTTCATCCCTGATGCTGCTGAAATAAGAACTCAAGTTGATGAAGTGAGCTCTGTTAGACATATACAGTCTAATTTACGTTTATGCACTAAATCTTTTAGGTCTTCTATGCAAGTGAAAAATCCATTGTCATGTCTATCATCATTTTGTCAAGGAAAATTGTGTGAAATTGATTCATTGCTACATCTAAGAGAGCATGATTTGGTGGGATTTTTATACCTACTTTTTACATTAATAACTCATTTTGGTCATGACCATACTATATTAAGAAGCTTTTAAGGTGAAAATAGTGTTTTGTTTTGGCTGAATGGACTGCTAGGTAGATGGTGGTGACTGTAAGGAGTTGTTTGGGAATACTTGTGTTTTAATCTTGGCATTTGTTTATTTTATGTTATTGTTAAATGTACTGAAAAATTCATCGCGCCTATCTATTTCCATATATGTATACGTGAGCAACCTTCTCTACATTTCGTTTCAACAATTTTGTTGATATTTTTGTGTATAGGTAGCCTCAGGCCTTTACCCGGGTCTTCAATTGTGCATGTGCATCTTTCATCTGAGTTACTAAAGAATGTCAATTTCAGGTCTTATTTTCTTCCCTTGTTTTTCAGATTGGGGACCTAAGGTCGATGTGGTGGGGTTTTGCTTCCTTGATCTGGCATCAAATTACGAACCTCCTCAACCACTTGTAGACTGGCTTAAAGCTGGTACAAAACCTATTTATATTGGCTTCGGTAGCCTTGTGAGTTTCCTCTCTAAGTTCCCTACTGTGAATTCATGTTTTTTTCCCCTTGAAATAGTAAACTTTCTAATTTTCTGATGGTTACTTGGGAATATAATTAGTCTTTGTTTCTAGATTTTTGTTTCAAAATATTATTAGAGAGGATAAATGGTGGAATATGATTCTGTTTTAGAGCAATTTGTTTGCACTTGCATTTTAGACTTAGGTTCTATACTTGTCTTTTATTATAATTATCTATAACAGTTTGGTCAGTTTCATAATGTAAACAACCTTAGAGACAATTTTATATATTAGCACATTGCTTGGAGCAGATAATGAACATTCTTCAGATAATGAACATCCTTTCATTGAACTGTCCGAGTTATTCCTAATAACACAGGCATCCACTTTGCCCCTTTGGGGACTTTGACCCTCAGCCTTCCACTTTGGGAGGTAGACGGGATACCACTAGGCTACAACCCTTGGTGGTTCCTAATTAATATAGTAATAATTGTGGTGGGTAATTGTGGCTTTGTTGGAAGGCATGCTGGAAAGAAAGTAACATTTTTTCACCTAATAGGTCCTCCATTGGCAAGTGGGTGATGGTTGCTATAACTTTTGAAAAATTGTCATGATTAGGGCTGCAAGTTGGGCTGGCCCAACCCAGCTTAGCCCCAACCCAACCTCAACCCGAATCGGGTTGGGTTGGGCTAGCCCGAATTGTACCCAACATGGGTTGTGGTCATAACTCGGACCGAATATTTTTGAGCGGGATGGGTCGGGTTGACGGGTTGAGTTTTTTTTTTTTTTTTTTCGGAAATTTATATATATTATATATATATTTGATTATATTGTTATTAAAAATATATATATTTTTAGGGCAAATCATTTCAGCCTCCCCAATCGCCTCCCATCTCTATTCTCATTGTCACCTCTGAAATTGCCCCCCCCTCTCTCTCTCTCTCTCTCTGTGCAACTGCAAACTACAAAATCAACAAGAATCAGAAGTTCAAAACTCATATATTTCAGTTTATCTATCTATATGCAAGAATCAAAAGTTCAAAACCTATTACCTATATCAAAACCCATTTCGGCATATCATTTCAGATTGTTCAAAAAATCAAAACCCATATCTTTCAGTTTCCATCGCCAGCTGTTCCAGTTCGGGTTCGCCGTTCGCAAGCTTCAACCACTGTCTCTCAACTCTCAAGCTTGCCCCCCTCTCTGCAACTGCTAACTTGTATGTATGGGTTTTGTTTTAATTTTTGGAAGTGACGGTGGCGGCGGTGGATCAGCGGCTAAGGGCGAGGGACGGCGGCGGCGGCAGAGAGAGAAAGAGAAAGAAGAGAGGAGAGAGAAATGAGAAAATTTTATTTTGGGTTTTGGGTTGGGTTCGGGTTGAGCCCGATCCCAACCCGAATATGTCTGGGTTTTGACAAAACCCAACCCAAACATGAACCCGATTTGTGAATTTTAAGCCCCAATTTCAAATTTTCTAGGTTGGGCTTGGGTTGGGCTGGGTTAGCCCGCCCAAGTTGCAGCCCTAGTCATGATGGTATTGGAATAATTTTATTGTCATTAGCTTGACGAGATAGATGTAAATCGTGGTCATGCTTCCTTGGTGCTCTTGCTTTAATTGTTAACTTTTCTCTAGTATATAACATTGTCCACTTCTATCCTTAACTTATTTGTTTTATTTCAGCCTGTTCAATCACCAGAGAAAATGACCCAAACAATTGTGGAAGCGCTGGAAATGACTGGACAAAGGGGCATCATAAACAAAGGCTGGGGTGGCCTTGGTAACTGTAAGTTCTATCTTTAGTTTTTGCCTTTTAGTCAAATATCCTCCTAGTTGTCTGGTCTATCTGCCTATATAGTTGTAACTCTAATTGATTAGCTAAATTTTGTTACTTCTAGTGCCAGAACCAAAGGATTATGTATATTTACTGGACAACTGTCCCCATGACTGGCTTTTCTTACAATGCGCCGCTGTGGTGAGGCTTTATTACTTTATTTATTATTATTATTATTATTATTATTTTTTAAATCATCAAATTTTTTTTTGAATCATCAATAAGGAGGTACTGGGATAACCAGGTTCTCCTTTCCTTTTGCATTCTCATTTTCCATCTATATGTGTGGTATGTCGGTCGTTGAGTAGCAATTTTAGGCCTTTTTCACCCAATCTGGTAGGTTTGTCTAATAGTTGCTTGACATAGAATGAGTCCATTGACCAAGCACAGGCAGCCTGGATCTCACATCTGGGGTTATGCTTGGAATTTTATAACAAAATATTTATATAACGTGTCTATATAAATATGTATAAAGTTCTGGTAACTATATTATACATGTTTAAGTTTGTTGGGAATCGACCAGTAAGAAGTTGGAGCCAATTTTGCATTCTTCAATGTTTTATGAAGTGGCAAATTGAAAAGAGGGCCAAGCTGGGCAGTAATAATTATATCTTTTTATGATATCAATCAATCAAACCAATTATTGAAAAATCTCTGATTTTTTGTTGATTTTATCTTGCGTTTTTGTTAGTGTTAGAAAGAGTTACAATGCAATAAAATACTAACTTTACTTGAATTCACTCAAACTAGATATAGATCCCTGTAAGTGCCACACATGCAAGTGAATATAAGTTGATTGAGACTTGCGTTGTTTATATTTGTTAGTAATGGTTCTTTTTAAATTTTAACACATTATGTCACTGATAAAGTTGTTTATACGAGTTATGCTAGTGTTTTGGGTGTAAAGCAGAAGCTTTATTCTCCCGTCCACTCATCTCCTTAATGGTGCAAACTATGAAATGTTATCCAGTTTCTTCAATTGAATTTTGAAGGCATGAAAAAATTCTCTAGATAACCCATGAAATTCTTGAAGGTTTTCCCCAAAATTTATTGTTATAATCAAGCTTAAGTTTCTCAATTTATATATATATATACACACACACACTACGGAGTAATTGAGAAACTCAAGCTTGATTATAACAATAAATTTTGGTATATATATATATTTGTTAAAGTAATGATTAGTGTCTTTCATTCAATAGAACCTTCTTCATCCGACCTTCCATTTGGAAGGAAGAGGAGATACCTTGGGCTTGTATAAAGAATGTTAAACGAGCATAACTAAGTTTGTGTCAAAAATCACATCTATAAATTTGTTTCTTGACAATGATTTGTTTATGCGTAAGACATTATACTCACTAAAGTTTTGATACACTCCACACAATTTTATTTTAACTATTATTTGCTCCAACTTGTATAAAATACCTCTGAACGTACTAGCCAAATCTCATTGATATCTATTTTGCTTTAGGTGCATCACGGGGGTGCTGGTACAACAGCTGCTGGTCTTAAAGCTGCGGTAACAGCCCTTTCACTTATCCTTGCCGTACTTTTTGTTCATCCGATTGTCGGTGACCGTCTTTTTATCCTCCATTCCTCCATGTTATTGCAATGTAGTGTCCAACAACTATAGTGCCATTCTTCGGTGACCAACCCTTTTGGGGAGACCGAGTGCACGCCAGAGGGGTAGGTCCTGCACCCATACCCGTGGATGAGTTCTCACTGACCAAGCTGGTTTATGCAATTAAGTTCATGCTAGATCCTCAGGTATACGAATTTCCTGAATAGCTGGATTTTCCCTATATTTGCTAAATATGATCCCAGTCTGTTAACCTTCAATGTCCCCTTGGAGGAAGTGAAATGAAATATTGGCAACACAATTTAATATGCAACTAGAGATAAATTGTGGTCGTTTCAATGTATGTGTATATATATATGGTTTTCATTTAGTCTTGGCGGATGCCAGAGAAGAACTTTCTTTATATGGACCTATAAACATAATGCAGGTGAAGGAGCGCGCAGTCGAACTTGCCAAGGCCATGGAGAGTGAAGACGGGGTGACAGGAGCAGTGAAAGCCTTCTTTAAACATCTTCCTCAAAGAAAGCCCGACCCCGAGCCTGCACTTGCAGCATCAAGTAATCTTCCTCAAAGAAAGCCCGACCCCGAGCCTGCACCTGCAACATCAATTTTTTCCTCTTTTAGTAGGTGTTTTGGTTGTTCGTAAATCGTGAGTGAATGTTGTTTTCAGTTCTTTTAGATTTGTGTATTCTTGATCAATCATAACATTCATACATATATCACGTGTTATATAGAGGGAGACATGCTCAAAAAGTGCTTTCTCCTAACATTGCTCCATGACCTTGGTTCTAACCCATTCTGCATATGATATCCTGCTCTCAAGAGTTGTATTGGTCTTTGTTCATTATGGTCACCATTCATTTATCGGAAGAAATATATATTTGTTATCAATTTTTTTGTGGTGTTCTTATCGTTCATTTTTCCCTAAAACAAATATAAATTCTCTGCACCTTCAATTTGATCTTTTCACATGTTTTATACGGCTGATATTCTGTGAATGGTTGTTGAAAATATGCTTCTTTTAAAAAGGACTATGATTTGGATTTTGAAGTGGAGAATTTTGAAATAGCTCATCTCTACTTTAATTTGTTGATTCCCTAATAATAGAAGTTTATACATTTTCTTTCATGCTGTTATTTATGAGTGAACTTTATTTATTTATTTATTTATTATGATTATTATTATTTTGACCATTTGATGCAATAAGTGCTATTAATGTCATTTCAGGATTTTATAAGAAATTTGTGGTAGTCAAAATTTCACTTCCTTTATAAAATGATTATTAATTCGTTTAGAGATCAAATTCTAAACCAGTTGGAAGTCACAAATCTTTGTTGATTGATTTGTCATACGAGTCAGTCCCTAAAGCTATAATTTGTTGAACGATGGTTAATATTGGCAATATATTTGTTGTTAAACTACAATATATTTGTTGTTAAACTATGCAAAGTCTATGTTGATGTTTTAAATCCTTGTTAAACCAGGATCGGGGCACATTGGACTAATCTTTCATTTCAAATGGATTGGTTCAAATACAAATAAAAATTACCCATTCTCAGTTACAGTATATAACAACAAAAACAGAATATGTCCCAGATGGATGATGAAGAAGTGACCAATCAATTGTATCCGTAGTTCCGTCCTTATTGCAATTGTATCAATTGCAGTTGTATCATATCAGTAGTTTCGTCCTTATAGCAAATGAATGGATTTTCGCCAATCTTCTATCAGTCTTTTATCGATTTGGTAGACAGAAAACTGTTTTGTAAGTTGACCTTTCATCATCTGTATTCCAGTGATTGTGATAGAGTTAAGAATCAACGAGCAGATCTATAATAATAATAAAAAATTGAATCAACCAAAAAAGAATATTAAAAAAACGTAGTTTTAGAAAAGAAAAAAAAAAAAAAGTAACAAATTCAATAATAATTAAATTGATACCTCTATCAAATTTATTAGTTTCCTCCCATATATCATCAGAAGAATACTAGTGATACTTTGAACAAAATGCATGATAAAAATATAGGTGTTTTTTTAGTATCTTATTACATTATATCACTTACATGCTTCACTTTTTAAAAATGCCATTTATCACACTATTTGTGATGATAGATCATACAAATGAAGCTGGTTGATTGAGTCGAAAAATTAGATCATACAAATGAAGGCTGATTGATTGAGTTGAAAATTTCACGCGCACAACATTTCTATTGCAAACATTCAAATAGCCTTGTCAATCACAATTCTTCATGTTAATTATAAAAGTATTTACAAAAATAATATGTAGGTTTTCTAAAAATAAATAAACTCTTACTTTATACTTACTTCTAACTTAGAAAATAATTCATACATATTATAATTCATAACCCATAGTTTTACTTCTTAGTATTACTAGTACATTATAAATATGCATATAACACGTACATTATAAATTAATGTGTAATTTTTTCATATTTAAACCTGTGTTTATCTATTACCATGGCATTGGTTAATTCTATAGGAAGTAGCAAGTTTTAAACTGTAAGATAAATATTAAATTTTACAGAGAATTGTATGAATATTAATATAAACACAAATCAATGGTATAGATTAGCATATTTTATACCATTAATGCACTACATCTCTGATAGCTTATTTTCAAACTTTCATCATCTCATTGGAATAAAAAAAATTATTTTTTATTTTTAGAATTCCGATTTTTTTTTTCTTTTCTTTTTTCTGCAGTCTTCGGCCTACTGTTCCTGGTCCATTATAATGTTGAGAAAATGACCAGCTTAGCCTCATAGATTCAGTCTTCAATCTACTCTAACTGGAAAGCTTAGTCCAGATATTCACAGTCTTCACTCGACTCTAACTGGTCCATCACTTTGATTCGGACAGTAGCTAAGGTGGGCCCATTAATTTGGTTCTGATAGTGGTTAAGATGCTGGTTTGGGTCATAAAGAATTGGGTATTACTTTGACATGGACCTTTGGTGTGTAAGAGATTTTTTATTTTAAATTTTTCAGACAAAAAAAAATAATAATAATAATAATAATATAACAAACATTTGCCGCTGCGAGGACTTAAACTAGTTTACTGCGTATAAAATAATATATTGTATATGCCACAGTTGGTTTAAAAATTTCTTAACAAATTTGTGGTGGTCAGAGTTGGCTTGACTTTATCAAATGATCATTGATCAAAAATTACGTTTGAATATATATATATATATATATATATTAATTATCGCGTAACAAAATTTAAAAGATCTATCAAAAATGGGATACTAAACGAGAACATTGCATTTTCAACATTTTTTTTCTTTGAGGCACCATTTTAAACATTTGACCTTAGTAATACCCAATTTAAGAGTCACGAATATTAGATAAAAGTTTAATTATTTGTTTTAAAATTTTGTTTAACATTATTTTGTGCTATAGTTTAACATCATAATTTGAATTTTAATTTAAAATAAATTGTACTCATTTAATAAGGTCGAGATCAATAATTGAAGTAAATTGGACTTGGAAAATAAGCGTAAAAATGTTGTGTTTGTTATTTTTTTATTTTATTTTGAAAATTCAAGCAAATTGGATAAATAAATTAAATATATACAACAGAACCATAAGCAAGCTCCGCCCAAAATGAGGCAAACATATTGTAAGTTGTGCAATGGGCTTAGCCCATTACCAAATCGGCCGACACATTCTAAAAAGTTTTATTTATTTTTCTGCCAAATAACTCCCACGCATTTAAACAGATATACACGTTGATTTCACTTTGTGCTATTTTAAACTTTTAATTTGTCATACAGATCTAGGGTAAGTTTACATGGGAATTGGATAAAAAGATAGTATATTATACAAGGAAGCATTCAAAGTAATTATTTCCTACAATTCAAATTTTTTTGGATATTTCTAAAGGTTTAGTACGTGAGAGTTTTCTAGAATTTTTTTTAATAGAATTTTTCTAGACATTAGCATGTGATTAAATTTATACAAACAGATAGATTGTAGTGTAAGAATGAAAAATTTAGAGCATCTCCAATGGGTTGTTATATTGGCTCACAATTCAAAATATAGCAGGTGGGTTAATATTGGGCTCTCTAAATTAGTTGTCAAAATTTACCTTTGCCATTTTTTGTGCCAAATCTAGCAAAACAAATAACAATAACTATTTCTTTATTTTGTGTCAAATCTAACAGAAATATATGGGTTTTGAACTTTTGATTACAAAACAAGAATGATAGACCTTGATATATATATATACACACACACACAAAATCAAGAATTACAGATCTCGATTAGTTGATTTAGAAAAAAAATTAAAACAAAACCCATACAAAGATTTGGTATGTGAAAATGACTTTTAGCATTGGAGATGGTCTTAAATTAGAGAAGTTAAGGGAATGACTATAAATAAGCAGAAGGATATTCGTGAAAAGTGATCACTAGAATTGGAGTGAAACATGGCAAATTGCTATTAATTTGTGGAGTTACAAACCCATTACATATGCAGCGAAACTAGAGTGGTGGCTAGAAAACGAAGTTACAATTTTTTTTTATTATATTATTCTTTTATAAATGCGACGTACAAATAAACATTTATAGAGGCTTTGTAATGCGTCAGATTTTTATTTAGGTCTTTTAATTTTGATTAGTAAGTGTTATATTAATTGATGTTTTGAAAATTATAGAATTATTTTGGAGATAATATATTATTGGAAGTTTTTTTTTCATTATTGTAGACATGTGCTATGATAACCAAGATGGGTAAATTAGTTCTTTGACTCAACTTCTTCCAACACTTGAAGTGCTTTGAATATACACAATGCTCAATCATTCAACCATAAATACATCTGAATTTTACAAGGAAAATCTCTCTTAACTAGAGATCAAAAATCTTGGTTTTTGGCCACATTCAATGTAATCTCTTCTACTTGTATGCAAGTAGTTACTTCCAATACTTGGAGTGCTTTGAATACACACAATGTTCAATCATTCAACCATAAGTACACCTGGATTTTACAAGAAAATTCTGTCTCAACTAGAGATCAAAAACCTGGTTCTTGGCCACATCCAATGTAATCTCCACCACTTGTATGCAAGTAGTTACACACTCAGCTATTTCACTCTCTACACACACATTGTACAAGATGAAACACTAGTTTTCATAGCCTCTAAACACACTAGCTCTATTTGGTGCTCAATAGCACTCCCCTTGTCCTAAGCAACCCTGCTAGCTCTCACAACTCGCTAAATAAATACATGAAAATAGTGAATAACAACTCTACTATAGCTTTTACAAGTGAAAGAAATGAAATTAAAAACTCAAAGTAGCAATACACAGCAGAGTCTTCATTCTGCAGAAACATTAGTCTAAGGGCAAAATTGAAAATTTGAATGAACAAAGACCAAGAAATGAATTTTACAGTTTTATATCTTCAATACAAACATGCTCAGAAAATAATCATAATGAGTATAGCATGAATATAAAATCTCAGTAATGATATAAGCCTAATCCTGCAGAAATTTCAAAAGCTAGGATTTCACAAGCTCAAAAACTGTATTGACCTTATTTCTGTGCAAACGTCAGCTTCAACAGCCTTGATTCAACTATAGAATCTTGCTCAGATGATAATAGTGCAACTCACAGCAACATATAGTGATGATAAGCTCAAATCAAAAGGCTAAACTAGTAAAACAAGCTAAATCACAGGTCTGAGACATCAAATGTAAATGCAACAGTAAAATGATCACGTATAAGCATTCTGCAGATGTAAAATAGTGAACCAAACTTGCCTCAACCTTTGTGCAACTCTAGAAATGGCTGGAACCAAATTTGACTACTCAAACCAAGGCTTCTTGCACTAGAAAACAGCTGCAACCAAGCATCCTCATCATCATCAA